GTCTTAAACTCACAAGCTCATCAACGCTCTACTCCTTTGCAACACCAAACACATTTCTAACCGCGTCACTTACCCGCCCAATATAACCTTCAAGCGATGTCCAACAGTTAAAGCTTTCTACTTCTTGAGAGACTTTTCGTTTCTCAAAGAGGAAAGAAGAAAGATCAAGTAAAACTCAAAATGGTGCTATGCGGATCTAAATAAAATAAGCAAATCCTAACCTGTTACTGGGAACAATGGAAAAAATCTACACATGCATAAAACACAACACTAAAAGACCAAATGGATCTCATGATGTCCAAAAAAAAATTAATCACTTCATACCGATACAATGTCCTTCATACAAAGCCTCTGAGAACAACCTTAAGAAATAAACAAAAGGCAGGAGTATCCCGCAGCCAATGCCGGAAAAGTTGCAGAAACTGTGCCTTGGTCGACGGCCTAATAAGAGCTACAGTTAACGACAGCGAAGAAGAATTCGTTGCGTGACCAGTTTTCATAACACCAATAACAGCAGCTCAATAGCACATCTTATCCATAAAGGCGGTATCTAGAAAGGCCTAAAAATAAAACCACCTAACAAGTTTATTTCCACTGCTTATTGGTGCATTTCTTCACGCTCATTATGCTACTGAATGCATATTACTGCCTTTTTTGCTTTGCCAGATACTGAAGTAGCGGTGGCGCAACAAGACAGGGAAATGAAAGGAGAACAAAGCAATATTCTATAGGCTTTGGCCAAATCTCCAGTCAGTATAATAAAGTTGGTTAGCAGATAAAGGCACCTATAGTAGAATAATGACTTGAGATCACCGCTTGTATGGTGTGTGAACCCCTTGTCACGAACTTGTTCTATAACACACTGCGGTAAGACCACCAATTTCAAATGATGTTTTTACTACATCTTCCTTGTTTATAATCTGCTGATCAGTATATCTTTTTGCATTTGCTTAGAGCACTGCTATTAGCTGATAAGCTCAGTCAGCAGTTCTACTTTTAAAATAAACTCAATTTCATAAACTTAAACCAATCGATAACTCCTCTACATCCACCTTAGAAGTTCCATAAAAGACTTCTTTCTGCATCCGTTTAAAAAAGTATGTACATTAATCACATAACATTATCCAGCAAAAGAAAACAAGAGAATGTGAAGAATTCCCCTAGTAATGGGTACTGCGAACCCCCCAAGCTGTTTTACCGTAGTACCTTTTTATACTTTTGAATCCATAGTCGCTCACTGATAATTCTGGAAAAAATAAAATCGGTAAATAAAAAGCTTTATTACGATTCAATGTTCAACAGGACGCTTGTACGGTACATCGCACTTACATTTTTGAAAAGCACATCACCTTTTTACGAAGCTAAAAGTCAACCGATACATGGTAGTAGTGCACTAAGAAGTCCCAGCAACCAGGCAAAAAAGTGCTCTTTGAACATTTTTAGCAGACTTCTTAGTATCCTCAATATCTCCACAACAGAAGAAACAATGAAATAAGCTGCTGAGATCCTAACATTCGAAACTCCACTTGAAGCGATTCGTCAAAAAATTTTTAAATTTCCGAGACTTCTCCTTCAATGCAGCAGAAGCGGTTGAAGAGTCTTAAATTAAACAAAATTAGGACCTGTCTTTACAGAAGTTAAAGAGAAGCACGTAGCAGACAAACAATAGAGAAATTAAACTGACCAGCAATATTCCCAAAAAGATTGGATAAAGTTGTTGTCAGAAAATTATCTTTTGAAACAATATCAACAAAAAAGTCTTCGGGGCACTCTTTCAACTGGAAATGTAGAACCGGCAACAAAGCGAAGAAAAGGTCATTTCTTGGTCCAATTGCGGTAGTACAACTGCTCAGCAAATGAATTAATCTCTTCCATTGTTCAAATCCTTCGTAAACCTTAAGAATTACCAAAAAACCGATAAACTAAGCATTCAAATTTATCTACACTTATCCGTTCCACAGTATTGTATAAAGCAATGTAGCTGTTGAAATTATTAGTCCTAAAAAACTACTCCAGTTCGAGTGTGAAACTATTAGAATGAGAGCAAACCATTGTTGTAAAATAAATCCATTAACAATGCTTCACAAAAAATATGAATAAAATTTTCAAACTAACCTGCCCCAGCAAGAAACAAACAAAAGCAAATTGAAGTTCGGCTAGGAGTTCTTTCCAGTCTCCACCCGAACTCCTTATTAGCTGTTCAAGGTCTTCACTACGGTCCAACCCCTGTTGATTTCGTCTCTTATGTATCTGTAAGACATGAAAATGTGTTTATCAAGCAGTATCAACTTATTTACAAAACAAATTAGCTTCTAAAACAGAAACCACGATTAACCTACAAGTTAATAAAACGAAAATTTCATAGTGCAATATACCGGCATAATCTGAACTTCATGAAAACGAATCTGAAAGCCAGGACGAATCCTCATAATTGGAAGACCTTGTTCATCTACAAACCGGATTCTGGTAGGATGTTCTCGATCAACACGCGATGTAGAACATCCTGGTATCTGCAATTTAGTAAAAATGAGAATAGAGCATTAACAATCATTCATTTTTGCTCTGAAAATAACAATAATTAACGAGTAATTAAAAAAGCTGAAAACCAATTTTTGTTTTTCAATATAATGTCAATCTTCGCTACAAGACTCAGGCATGTAAAACTAACGTTCTCATCCTCCATCATTTCCGTTTCCATTGTAACCAGTTCTGCTTGTCCAGTGATCCTGCCGTAATAATTTTCTGGACGCAGATTATTCACAGTTTCTTCTAAAATTCATTATTTTACAGTCTAAAAAGTACCACATTTAATAACAAAGTCCCACAAGTCCAAAACAGCTGACTGTTGCAATGAAAACGAAACAGAATACTGAAAAAACCTTGGCAGCATATTTAGACAAACCCGTAATATAATTGCTAAGAGCAAACCATTCCCTATAATGCTCGTAAGGATAAGGCCCAAGTCTTCTATCCATAGATTTCAAGTTTTCTCGTATACGTGATATCTAAATAGACCACCAAATAAATAGCATACTCAAACACTTAAGGCTGACGGAAGAGGCATATACCTCTAAAAGAAAATGCCTCGAGTTATGAGTAACAACAAAATGTACTTACCTCTGCCTCATCAACATCTCCAATAAGCATATCTTCTGATTTCGCATCCCATTTACGAACAACAATTTCGCGCTCCTTGAAATAATGAAAAAATCCAATTCTAGGAGCAGTTTTCACACTAAAATACACGAAATGAACTCCCGGTGGAATCATCTTCAATCCACAGAACTCAGAATCAACATTCCAAGATTTATAATCAATACCAAACTCTGTACCTCTAGGAACACCAGTGAAGATCTGCAATAAAAATAACTCGACAATTTCATTCATGGAAACTTGTAAAAGATAAAAAGCGATGTGTGGATGTGCGTAAATTAAGTTTCAAACGTAAAAAACCCCAGCAAACTTGCCTCATCTTAAAAGTAGAGGCAAAAACAATTTTTAAGAACCATAACTAGCAGAACAATAAACTAAAACTTCAAAAAAGAATTACCAGAAAAGCTCCATTCTCAAAAAGACATAATGCAATTTCTTGTGGCATATCAGATGTAGCAGTATTACATATATTAGCTGCTATCGATACAGCAGTGTTCATTTTGATTTATTTAAGAAGTTCCCTGCAATTTATTCAGTTATAGAAAGAATAAAGACATTGCATTAAAAATGAAATACCAAAAATCAAGGGTATTTAAAGAGATTATCTAGCAGGCTTTTTATCAACAAAACAGTTCAACAGTCATAGATCGACGACTCAAATATTCCTGCCAGGGAGAAAAAAGGTTCAGGACGATAAGCAAAAAGCGAAAAAGATGGATGCGCAACCGGTACTTATCATAAGCAACTAAAATCTATTTCAGCATGACTTAAACATCGTCCCTTCGTCTCCTCTACCATTGCTGAGCAAATCAAGCAAAACTAAATTCAAAAATGTATAAATATGACGTCGTTTTTCGTTAACCTTGCTTATGAAATTGGCGTCTCACCAAAAACAAATCAACGATGCTCCGGACGGATACACAGCATAGTTGTCAGCCAGATAATAGAAGCCAAGTATTTGCCTTCATCAACAGTTAAATCAAACAAACAATCAAATGGTTAATTTAATTTAGCTGTAATTCATATCGGTCAGTTTGTCACTTCAAAAGCTGACCGATTTTTTGTTTCTCTAACAGCCAACTGCAGTCCGTGACAGTTAAATACCGCTAAAATTACATTTTAGGAGTGATATAAGAAAAAATAGCAGTCATTTCAAACATGAATTCGGCTGTGAAATGACACGTTTAAAGATAGCGAATAGGTTTCAGTCTTGTAGATAAGTGCACTTTCAAGTAGGTTTGTGCCGTCAACGGATTATCTGCAACTCCGAAAACCACATATTTGGCACTCCGTCAAAGTTAAAAAGCCAAAAATAAACAGAAAGTTTATAAAAAAAAAGTCTTTTCCAGCGTCTCATTGTTATTGTTCTGTACTTCTACTTTTCCCATACTAATAACAAATCATTATTTTTAAATTTATCTATATAAAAAGTTGTTTGTAGTTTCTTTTTGTTTTGAAATTTCTTTATAAAACAACTTTACTCTGAATTATTAGTTTTCTCTCAGTTTTTTCAACTCACTTAATCGGTGATATCTGTCATTTTTTACTTCGCATATGCCACTCTTTCTCCGTTCATCTTTACAAATCGCCCAAACTGTCTCAGCTTTAGCAGTTATATGTATCATAAATTGAATACTGACTAGTGAACTGAGAATTTCCCTGTCAATTTTTCCTGTTGGCATTCGTGTTTTGTATTACACAAAAAGATACAACGCATCATATTTCTCAGCACGTTGAAGTTCTTAAAAAATTTCTTATTTGTTGAGATCAAACATGTAATTTATTCGACCATAATTGGATTCTAATTTTTGAGAATTGCAGTTTTTTTTAGACACAGATCTTATTAGTTTTGTGTTCAGCAATCTCTGACCAGTTTTAAGAAACACTTCCAGTAATTGTTTAGTATTGATAAACCAAACTGACGGTATGATGCTGGATCTTCACCAAAGTCGTATTGTACCATCCTGCGGTCTCTTCCAATGTAAAGTGCATCTTTTATTCTTCAGTTTAAATTTACTTGGATTTTTAAATGTCGGCATACGTCTTTAATAGTTTATTAAATATTACTTTATAAGTACAATAAATACAGCAAAAGTTTGAAATTATTGCGGCTTGTTGTACCTTCAGGCGTAGTGACCTGGACGTCTGATCTTTCAAGCGGCTTGTTCGGTTTCAAGGAGTGCTTCTGAAACCAGTTTTTGATTTTATTTTTGTCTTTGCGGAACACGTTAGCAGATATTTTGGTTAAGATGCTGTTTTGAATGTTTTGAATATCATAAATTGGAAGTACTGTCAGACCTGAGCGTAGCGGATTGTAATGAACTGTGTTAGTCCTGTTTCGTTGGGAGTACGGTGGGGGTGGTATTGTTGGAAGGTCACAGTGAACATGAAATATCTGAAATAAGTGGCCGTCAGGTAGCGGTCAGTTGTTTATGGTAGCTGTCACTGTGACCAAGTTAGAAAAGGAAAGCATTGCTCCTAAACTGGAGAGACATAAACGATATATTCTCGGACTCTCGTTATGTAACCTTACGTTTCTGCTTCTGTCATGAGTTTCCCTGTTTCCATTCCGAAAACGTTCTTTCTTGTATAGTGAGAATCCAATCATTGTGTATGCCAAACTGGCCAGCAAAGCAAATACGACTAAGGTTTCCATTCGAGACTCAAAATAACGTATTGTTTCCAGATACCTGCTCTAAAAGAAACAACTGCAACTGAAACGTCTGTTGAAGGGATTTGTTCATGCATTTAAAGAATAGAAGAAATTTGTTTTGACGAGCCAGGAAACTTAAGCTAACATCTGAATTCTTCTTTTGAACAGATGGGTGGTTTATGGTGGCCAGTTTAGAGAGATGAATGATTTTTAATTGGCAGTAGCCAGCCAACTTTGCCATAATGTTGATTGTTTTCTCGCAATGTTTTTCAAATCTTTTTGTAACTGAAGCTTTTTTTGCGACAGAACTGACATTTCTAATCGCATTACTGTTTCTGCTTTATAAGGAGTCAGAAATGATCTGTTTGTAAAAAAAGAGATCAGAGTTTCAAAGGCATTAGCTTAAGGGATGTATGGGATTGAAGGAGAGGAAAGTAGAGAAAAAATTGAATGAACAGAAAGCAAGTTGTGGAACTGCATGCATTGATACACTGCCATTGATACACTTTGGAGTTAATCTATTTTTTTATTTTTAGAGCATAACTTATAACAAACGAGTATGCAAATAGAAAAGTTTTTTCTACTGATTCTTCTTTGAAATCAGTTATTCATTAATTAATTTGAAAAATACAGAATGGACTGCTTATACAAATCTTGCTTTTTAGCTAGTTCTTGAACTAGAAGTTTTGGCTTTTTTAGGCACTCTTCCTACCAAAAAAAAAAAAAAAAAAAATTAAG